AATCTTAGGGAATGAAATTGTAGCAGCAACAGTCAATGACCTGATACTTCTAAGAAGAAGGATTGAGTCTATTGCACTGAATTAAGAAACTAGGAAGTACAATAAGCCAGAAGGTTGCAGTGCCTGGGGAGCACAAACCCCGCTTCCTAGTATACTTATTACCATACCATACCCCCTCGTTCAGATGATGGCTCTTGGGCCACGACCGACGAAGAAAAATGATCCAGACCTGAACCATTCACTTGAGTGACCTGAATGATCCCGACTTCAATAAACCATTGAACAAGACCTGACATCTCTACCTCTCTCCCCTATACCAAACCATTCTTACCGTCAAGTATGCAATGACACATTCTCCGGTATTACCGAATGTGAAGAAAGCCTTTGATCGGGTATGGCACTCGGGGCTGCTCTAGAAGCTAAAAAGAGTACCTGATCTACCACCTGATCCTAAAAGACCTAACCGACAGATACCTTTAAGTCCTAAGTGGCCCCGGATCGCACAGAGGTATACCACAAGGAACTTAGTACCCATTCTCTATACAGTTTATTCCGCAGACATACCTGAAACTATTGCACCTACCTAAAAAAGCTGTGGTTTTCCTTATAATTCTGTCCTTAGAATACTTCCATCCCTTCATTCGAATGACTCCAAAGTTTAACAAATCTCCTAAACTACTGTTATCCTACCATACAGTCTGTTGTCTACAATGGGCAAAATCCTAGAAAAACTACTTAAACACTTTCTCCCCATCCTTTATTCCTGTCGTTATGACACGAGTTTGAGTTCAGACGTTCTCATTCCACTGTTCAGCAGTGCCAGTTGTAGACATCATCACTACCGCTCTTGAACCAAAGCTGCTCCGGTATTCCTGGAAGCCTTCGATCGGCAATCGGGGCTGCTCTAAAAGAGTATCTACCACCTGATCCTACAATACTACCTAGCTGATAGATTCTTTCAATATGCAGGTGTACCACAAGGAAGTATCTTACCCATCCTATATATACCGTAGACATTCCTGAAACGATACGACCTATGCGGATGATGTGATCCTATGCTCTCATAAAGAACCCGTCATCAACCAGAAACCTGCAAACTCATGTCACATCCCTTGAGCAGTGGTTCAAACATTGGAAATGACAATGCATCCGCTCTACTGCAATCCCTATCCCGCCAGATAATTTAGCTTGCTATCTTGGACCTATACATTGACAAATGTCTTACACGGAACCCACCCGATTTAAATGACAAGAATTAAACAGACCCTTCAGACTTTTAAAAGATTGCAGTACAAATGATCAAAACTCACTCTACAAAATAACTCATATGTATTACTATTTTGAGACCCATTGGTCAAACGGCATCGAACTTTAGATATCAACAAAACGTCCCAACTCAAATAAAAAACCCTTCGAACCATCGTCAATGCTCCTTTCTATGTATCCAATCTTACCATTCACGATGACTTTAATACCCCATATGTCCTTGAAGTAGCGAAAAACCGCTACAATTAGTATCACAAACCTTCTCGTCACCTTTCATGACTCACCCTTCCAAATAATTCCCGACGGCTGAAGCGTCTCTGGCCTCCCAACCTCCTGACACTCAGAGTGATGATGATGATGATAATGGAACGCTAGGAACTGAGGGTTTAGTATTACCCAAGCAGTGTAGTTTTCTGTCTTATTTTACTTTCCTAGTATCTTAGTTCACTTTAATTAGTCGATCTTTCTCTTAAGAAGTATTAGGCCATTGACTGTCATTGCTGATATTCTTCTCCCTGGGTTACTTGACATCCTAGGTCCTCCCCTGAGCGGATACGTTTTTCTTATTTATGTATATTTTTGTGTTCATTTTGTTTTGTTTTACGCTCTAAGATACTATCAAATTTCTTAAGCGCAGCAATGTGCAGGTGTAAATAAATAAAATATTTTGACAAGCAAGCATGATGTTTCGTGGAGGACTTAAGATATCTTTTCTACTTAATAACTTGAATTGGTTGAACATATTTTGTGGAATGTATACGAGGCTAAAATCCATAAAAAATAAAATAAATTTGAACTTATTATTAAACTGTGGTCAAACTAGGATTGTTTTATTATTATTGACCTATGAACAGAATTTTAAGGAGTATAAGGTTAGATTATACAGGAGGCGACCTGGTTACGACCTGTGCACTCCGACCAGTATTGGTCTATTGTGCATGAGCATAGGGTTGGTTAAGAGTTTTAATGTTAGAACATGTGAAAGTGTCAAAGGTTGGCAGAAAGAGCGAGACCGTGCGGACCAGGAAGGGGGACACGGAAGGAATTAGAATTCATTTAACGGAACGGTCGTTACTCCCGGCTGGCCTCCGGGAATGTTCACGTCGGTTTTTCCTATTTACACCGGGCCGAAAGCAAAATCATTAAATTGAGGATGACGGACATCGAAACAATTGCTATATTTTTCGACGTGGTTTCATGCTTTCTGCAGTCATGCCGTTTGGAAAATTGTCCTTTCTATATTTCTATGTAATGAAAAAAAAATTATTGCTGAATAGATACACACTCGATCCCTTAAGACAGTCAAAATATCGTGAAACGTATTGAAGAAGACGGGCCATTCCGTAGGCAAGATAGGCGACTAAATGAAAGGAAACATCCCAAAAATCTAACCAACTTTTTACTTTAAAATCTGAATAAAATAGATTGAAGTTTTTTAACGTTAACATATCAATAAACTAAAACGCTTTAAAAAAAATTGATAGAAAAAGAATAGAAAGCGAAAAATATGAAGTTACGTAAATTTTTAATGAAGCTAATATTAATTATTAAGTTATTAATTATTAACTGATTTCGTACAGATGATACTAAGCGGATCCAAAAACTGTTTACGTACAAACAAGTTGAAGACTAGTTTGAAGTTTACCCATGAAAAGGTGGAAGTGCAAAATGAACATAAAAAAACAAGCATACGAAAAATTCTAAAATATCTTCTTTTTTTTAAACTATATAGACAAACACGTAGACACAAATTAGCCAAGTTACTTATGAAAAAGTACATTTTCATAAAACAAGAGGATTAGGGCTTGGCAGAGTTATGTTATGATTATGTTAAGTAAGGTTAGGGTTAGGTTTTTCCAACAACAGTTGCCATATTGCTTAAGAGTTTTTCCCCTGCCAGTTCCCACAGTGATCATTGGCATTGTGGTTATTTCATAACTTACATACATTTCAAATAATTGAACTAATCAAAAACCACACGAAATTAATGGTAAAAAAATGTATATTTAATATTAAGAAAAACAAATCAAAGTAAAAGAGCTAGGAAGGGTCAGATTATGTAGGGTTAGGTTTATGATTAGGGTTACAGAACTTGTTAGGTTAGATTAAGTAGGGTTATGATTATAGACGGGTTAGATTGCATATACATACTTTAATTTTTTTCCGTAAAGTTTTTTTTTTCTAACATCAATGAATGCTAATAAACACTTATACATAAATAAGAATGGTGATACTAAAAATCGGAGAACAAACGTTTTACGGACATATAAAACACAAAATAAATAGACGAAAGGAACAAACAAGCAAAAGATATTTAAGCAGATGTTGACTTTGCTAAGAAGAAAGCCCATTTGTTCAAACAACAGCTATAAACAAATATACAAAATTAAGATAGAAACAGAACAGAAAGAAAACAATAAATACGAAGTAACTAACATTTTTAATGGATCTAACAATAAAAAATAAAATGGTTAGAATAACAAATTGCAAATATGGAAACAGAAATTAATCAACTATCCAAGAAAAAGGACATTTTCTTAGGAATCTCGCAATAATAACAAATGAAAGAGCACACTGTTTAAAAAATAGAAATAAACAAAATATAGACATTACGAGAGATCAGAGAAACAATAAGTATAGAGGCAGTCGTCTTAGCTTTTTAAAACTGATTTAATTTAATTTTTAATCTAACAATAATCAAAATTAATCACAAAATAAAAAAATAAAAAACTGCAAATATATAAATAAAAGTTAGCTAAGATACTCGAGATAAAACTCATTTTTAAGAACCTAGCCATAAACGAATAAAGAATCAAGAAATAAAAATTCAAAATGAACAATGCATACTGCAAATATGGAAACAGAAACTATCCAAATTACTCGTGGAAAAGCAAACTTTATATGAACAAAGTAATAAACAAAATAAAGGCACAAACAACAAAGTCATGTACAAAAATTGGCTTAACACACACACACATACAATGATTACACCAAGGAAGTCACCTCTTGCGTAGTAAAATTGTAAAAACTGCAAAACATTCTTGTTTGTGTAATTTTACAATTACAATGGTGAAATCTTGTTAAAAGTGATTAATTAAAGGCAGACTGTTTAATTATTCAGTGGTTCATCCATGGAAAAAACGATTAGCGAAGTGTATGATCACTTTTTACAAAATACTCGTGAATTGATTTTGTTTTGATTTTTTTTAAATCTGGTATTTGCTAATGATAATTTTATGGTACAGAATTGGGTCCGCCCGTGTTCGCTTGGTAATAAAAAACGTACGACAATTCTTTCAGGGATGAACTTCCGACTTAGTATAGTTTTGAAGTTTTGATCGGATTTTTCATCCCTTGTGGTCCGCTTATTCTCGTTGTTTTATTACTCAAGAACTTGTGAGGGTTTAATAGGTGGGGGGGAAGCAAAAGATACTGGGGCTGGTAATGTTCCTGCATATCAAAAAACCTATTTTTTTTATTTTTTTTTAATTGGTCTGTTGCCAATTTATGAAAATTTTCTTTTTTTTTTTAATTAATTTTTCTTCGTCGCGTTTCCTTTCCTCAGGGTATAGGAGCGGTGTCCTTTCTCTTGTGATCCTTGAGGTGTTATGTAACTCTAATTTTACTCTTATTTTTGTTTTCTTTTTCTCTTTTTTTTAAATTTTAGTTTGATTTTTTTGTATAGTTAAATTTTGTGTCAAAACTAGAGGATTAGTAGAAGATTTATGACTGACCTGTTGATCCGAGGGCCTGTGGGCGTCGAGTATGTAGCTCTTTTCAGTCGCCGAAGTGGTCGTTGTCATTATTTTCGGTTCGGCCATTTCCTGAAGAAAACTAAAACGGAAATGCTAAAAACGAAAATGCGGAGAGCCGAGTTGATGACCTGGTTCGGCCGAGGAGCGGAGAGGCGAACTGATTACACCACCGGTTTCCAGTTCCAGCTCCAGGACTAAAAGGTGGGGGCGGCTTTGCGGGGGTGGCGAAAAAACGTCGATTCCAAGACTCGGTCTATCGATGAGAGGGTTTGTTTCGATGTTGAACCCGCGTTCGAAACCTTTTGTACTGGGGCCCATTTTGAGAAGGAATGGATTTTCAGCCTTTTTCATTTCTAATTATATTAAAACTCGAAACATATTTCCTTTTTGAGAATATCATCAAATTTAATTACTAAGGCACAAAAATCTCCTCTTACAGACGAGACTGAGCGGCCCCAAAGCTTGTGTATATTCAAGTTGAAGACCAAATCAAATTACCTATGAAAAAAATGAAAGTACAAAATAAAGACAAAGAACAGGAGTGCGAAAAATTTTAAAATATCTTCATTTTTTTATAAAATCGAACAAACAAATATGTAAATAGAAATTAGCTAAGCTACTTACGAAATAGCTACCATTTATAAAACCTATCAATAAAGAAATGAAACGTACAAAATAATGACACAAAAAGTACAAACAGACAAGAAATATGGAGGCTGAAGAAATCAATTTTTTGGAAAAGAACCTAGCGATAACAAAGTTTTAAAATTTAAACAAAAAATTTAAATTAAAGATCAAAAAGTATAAAAAGAAACTTAACCTAACAACAAACTAAATAAAGTCACAAAATGAACAGACACACTGTAAATATGGAAACAGACATTAGCTAAGTACTCAAGAAAAAGCATATTTTCTTAAACACCTATCAATAAACAAGTAAAAGGTACAAAATAACAAAAGAACAAACAGATAAGAAATGGAAGGTTGAAGAAGGCTTAGCTACAAAGAAATCAATTTTTGTGGAAAACAACCTAATTATAAAAAATAAGAAATTTAAAATAAAGTATAGAACACTTAATTATCCCTACAATCAATAATGTACAAAATGAACAGACAAATAGCAATAAATAAATAAAAGGTACAAAATAACACCCAAAAAGGAAAAATAAAAGACAGGAAGAAAAGAACAAACCGGCAAGAAATTTAACAACTGAAGAAGGCTTTGCTATGAAGAATCTTTTTTTAAAAAGCCGAGCAATAACCAATAAGAGATTTGAAATAAATAATATAAAGAAATTATTAAATAATTAATATGATCAATTATGACTACTAAACATGTATGGATCAATATAACTAAAAGAAAACAACCTCACAATAAACAAAATAAGGAATCAAAATGAACAAACACATACAAATTTCGAATGCCACTCACGAAAAAAATCCTCTTTTTTAAAACATAGCAATAAACAAATAAAATATATATACTATATACACAAAAGGACAACCAATCAAGAACTGTGTTGAATCTCTAATCTAATTTCTGATTATTTTCACTTTGTCGCTTAATTTTGCATTTTTATTTGGATATTTTATTTTATCTATTACTAGTTTAAAAAATATTGCTTATTAGTTACTTAGGCAACTTTTGTCTGTCATCTTGTGCTTCCATATTTTTTGTTTGTTAATCCTTTTCGTCTCTTTATTTTATGTTTTTATATGCCTGTAAAACCATACAGTGCGCCTTCATAGTTTTATTATTTGTTGTTATATTTGATCGATGACTCGTTTGTACTTCCACCTTGGAATGGTTGTGACTATGAGGGATTAAACACTTTATTTTCCAAAGATTGCTCCATTTTTCAACTTTTGATGTATGGTTTTGTGTGTGTGTGTGTGTGTGTGTGTGTGTGTGTGTGTGTGTGTGTGTGTGTGTGTGTGTGTGTGTGTGTGTGTGTGTAAGTTAAACAACATGCAAAATGACTAATATTAGGCTATGGTTCATCAAACTAATAGACTAAAGCTCAACAAAAACAAGGTACCCATAATGCTTATGCTGTGTGCAATTGGCAAATGTATTCATAGTGGCAATGACTACAACCTCGTCAAAGTATTTTTATTTTATTTTATTTACAGGAGAATCCCATAGAGTAATACATTTTTGTGACTAACATTCGTGACAAGCATAAAGCTTTATTTTCTCACTTATTATGGTGTTTTTAATTTGATGTAAGCTAGAGAAAAACCAATCAATATTAAGTTCATTCCCTTCCAGCAAAGACTGTTTATTACCATGTATTTCATATATTTATTAGGTTTCGTGGTCTGCTTGACCAAAGGAGGGAAAATTCAAAAGGTTGGGTTAGGATGTTGGTGTCCAAGTGGATCGAAGTAATGATAGCTCAAGTGGTAGAGCAGCGGCGTATATAGCCAAAGGTCTTGGGTTCGAATCTCGCTTGTGACACTGACTTTTTTATCTCAACCAAAACCTTAATTAATTGAAAAGTATTTCATATAGTTGGTTTGACTAGGAGTAGGACAAAAAGTCTTAATTATCCTCGAATTCTAAGTTACATGAATTTTTACACATTCAAGCAGCTTGGGACTATCTACTTTAGAATTTTGCCTTTTTATGTGTTTTTTATTTTATCCAATACTGGTTTTAAAAAAATGCTTATTAATAACTTAGGCAAAATTTGTCTAAGACATCTCCTGCTACCATATTTTTGTTTGTTAGCCCCTTTGTGTTTTGATATGCCTGTACAACCATACAGCGCGCCTTCTTATTTTTATTATTTGTTGTTATATTCGATCGATGGCCCATTTTGATAAATCGATCTTTAATCAATCGACTAATTTTCTTATAGATTGTCTTTTAACACTGAACTTTTATTACGAAATTCAGATTTGAAAAGATACACTTGACACCGGTCTCGTAAGGCCTTATGCTGTACCGCAATCTGCAGACTGTAGCGTGGAGTTATATACAGTGTGCTGCAGACTGCGAATTGAACCCCCCCGCCGGCGTGTGGTAGGTTCTCGTCTTGTTGTCCTAGTCTAAACTTTTAAGTTCTGGTGAAATGGGTGATCGAGAACTGGAGAGCATCCGGGCCAAAAGGCTGGCCGAGATGTCCGCAGGGAGCCAGGTAAACAGACACGGACCGACGGCGACATGCCCGTCATGATCATCGACCATCCTAAGCACGTGCTCACTCGCCCACATAATCACATCATAAAAATCCCTTTTATCTGATCTAATTGGGTTTATTTTTCATTTTACTTAAACCAAATTTTACTTAATTTTTGAGCTTGTTTTAAAAAAGAACATTTCGAACGACACTCCAAGCCACCTTCCACTTCCAGGCGCATAGTTTCTCCTTTATGCTTCTTCCTGGACGCTCAATAGTCAACTCATTCTACATCCAACTCGTCTCAACATCATGTCTCGACCAGGTGTCACCACTTACCTTCCGTCAGGCTGAGTATCCCAATCTTCCCCTGATGGTTAACGGCCTTCTTGCAACAGTTGGTCAATTGGCCATTTGTGCAGCTTGTAATTCTAGGAAGCTTCCATTGCAGTACTTCGTCAATGGCCTTATGTTATAGAGTGATATTACAGATTTATGCCGAACTTGAGCCTTGTCTGCGACGCGCAGCAATTTTCCCTCAATAAATAATTCTTCGCCTTGTTTCTACACCTTCTAGGTTTTTGCAAACATTCCTTTGTTTTCTACTGGATCGACGAGCCTACAAAAAATACAAACAAAATTTTTTACACTATTGCCTTACATTAATAATTATATTCAACTGATTTATTCCAACTTTATTAAGGCAGGGACCAGCTTACAGTTTACAAAAGTGATTTTTCATGTGGAATCTGCTTCTTTTTTTTTCTTTTTTTTTTTTTTTTGCTTTTTTAAGACTTGATTTGCATAATATTAAGATACCCTGCGATTTTCTACAGCAGAAAAAAAGTATAAATGTATCAAATTTACACGGAATGCAGGAAAGTGGAGCTGCAAGACCTCACTGTAAAATTTCATCTGTGGATTATGCCTTATTTTAAAAAAAGGTCAAGGCAACCGGTTCCATCGCCAATACCAGATAAAAACGTTTTTAAAGCACAGACCATAAATCCTTGTCCTTCAGCTAGAGGTTTTGGGCATCCTGCAATATAATATCTAGCCTGATTGGTGTTTCTTAAGACAAACCATTTTTCAAAATTTTTTTTTTTTTTTTTAAAGCTATATCGTATATTTGTTTAATATATCGATGTAATATACATATATTGTGCCTGTTTGTTTAATATATCGATGGTAAACCGACATCCAGAGTTAGTTTGCTTAAAATGAAGTTGGCCAAAAAGGCTTTTTTCCTGGCCTGACTGACCTCAGGTCCAAGTTTCCTAAAATAATTTTTTTTACCCCCAGCTTGCTGCATGGCGTATATCCATCCTGCCTGGGTTTGCTTAAAATTAACTTCCCTAAAAGGCTTTTTTTCCTTCAAAAATTTATTTGACTGCAAATCCATGTCCGTTCACCCGGCAAGTTTTTCCTCAAGTTAAATATTTTGAAAAAAGCTTTTTTTCTTTTTTTAAACCGTAAATACATTTCTTTAGGCAAAAAGTTTTGAATTGACTGGTATTCTCTACTTCCACGGAGCAGTTTCTTTTTGTTTTTGTCCATTTTAAAAGCCAGTTTTGCCCACTATTTGATTTTTTTTTGCACTTTACCTTTTTTACATTTAAAAAACAAAATAGTTGGTTGAAATAAAACTAATGATCCACTGTAAGTGATAAAATGTCTAAACACCTGGTCGATATCAAATACGATTGATCATTTTAATTATTTATTTTTTATATATTTTTTATAATACATGTTTTGTTATTGCTTTTTCAGGGCTACAACCCGAATAACCAGAAAGCATTGGAAGAGAAGCAAAGGGAGGCCGAGCAAAGGAAGAACGACGTCCTCTCCACCGTGCTCAGCCAGTTCGCCCAGTCGAGATGTAAGTTATGACAAAACGATTTGAATCCCAGTTTAAACGCCTCTTCCGAACAGTGAACACGCTGAAAGCCGGCAAGCCCGAGAAGGGGCAGATGGTTGAACAGTTGCTCGTACAGATGTTTGAACGAGGTCAGCTCATGCACAAATTAGATGACGAAGAGTTCAAAAATTTACTCGAAAGCATCAGCATGCAAACTCAAAAAGAGACTAGAATTAAGGTAAAGCTCTGGTTTTTTTTTTAATTTTTAATTTATTTATTTATTTATATTTATTTCTGTTCTCTTTTTTCATTCTAGTTCGATAGAAGAAGACATGCCATGGATTCTGATGATGATCTCGAATTAGATGTTTAGTAGCACCGAATATCAAACGACTCCCACTAACACCAAATCTTCTATTAAAAAAAAAATCCTAATTATTACTAATATGACACAATTAAATGGAATTTTCTGTAAATTGTAAAATAATTTTTAATTTTTATAAATAATTAATCGATTATTTATTTATTTTATTGAACCCTTTATCTTAACCATTAGGTTTTTGATGTTTTAGAGAGAAAAAAAGAAGTGTCCACTGTAGCCAGTGGCTTTGACCACCTAGCCCTAGAGTGGATTGACCGTAGTGTGAATAGTCTAGATAATTTAGGCATTTTACCATTTTCCATTAGGCTAATGAAAATTTAGATCACGTTCCTGTGAGTCTGCTCTTTTTGCAAGTGCCGGTCAGTTATCTATCTCAGCAAGATCCATTTTTAAAAAAATTGACCAACAAAGTAGCAGGATTTTCTTGATACCTGCCTGCTATATATACTATTTTTGCCTAGATTCTCAGATCTTTGTCCAATCCAATCTAATCCGAGTATGTCTGTATAGTATGCATCTAATCCATAGCTGCCATGACTAAGTATATATATATTTTTTTGTTCTTCAAATGTTTCTTTACCTATTTCTTTTGGTGTTGTAATTGCCAGATATACCTTACCAAGATTTAGTCGCAAAAAGGTTCTATGGTCACCGCATCCCATGGTTTTTTAATGTACAAAATATGCCAGTGAAAAGACGAGATTTCCCTTTATACCTGCTTGCTGGGAGGTATTGACTATTTTTCTCGATTCTGTGGGATCCCTCGTTTTTATTAAAAAGTCTAAATATACACTGCAACTTGACCATTTTTTGATATATCAGTCAGTCATTGTTAAAGATTTCTCAAAAAATGAAAAATAAACAGTAAATAAACAATGTATAATTATAGTTTATCGAATATCGGATTAAGAGCGAAATAATGGAGAACCGTGTCAACCTCCCTTTTTGTGATTTCTCTGGTCGTACGCTTCCTGCTTGACGACTTGGCATCCGCTTTTTTCACCTGCCTCTTTTCCAGTCCTGCGGTTTGTGGCTTGGCAACAGGGCTGATAGGTAGCGGTGTCTTGGGAACGAGGAATTTCACTTCGGTATCGTCCTCAGGCATTGCCATGGTTTTCTTTTCGACCGGGGTGGCGTTCTGTCCCAAAGCAGGGTCCGGATCTTTGGGCCTGAAAAACTTACGTTTCTTGGAGGTATTGGTGGCAGCATCCTGTTTTCTAGGTGCCATGTTCGTCCCTTTAACGTAAATATAAAAAAATAAAGTCAAAACCTACTTAGAAACTGGACAATCCAAAAAAAAAAATTTTTTAAATTGTACATCACACAATTATGAAGAATAATGATCAACCCAACAAAGATGATAATTGTGATGAAGATTCAATTGACTGTGTAAATTAAAGTTGTCGCTATGCTTTCAAGGGGGTCATCCTTAGAGATTAGTAACAACTTTAACTGGTACTTCCTGTTGATTTTTATATGATCTTTCATCACCCTCATCTTGCATTGCTTTTAAAGTTATTTAACAACGCTACAGTTTTACTATTCTTATTTGTTTTTAAAATTTCATTGTAATTCTATCGAAAACATACCTAATTTTGCTTCATTCTCTTCCATGTTTACAGTTCCCATAAAAATATTTACAAGACAGGATTATAAAGACTCATTTCAATCCTCTGACACGAAAACAAAATAAAAACCCACCATTTTCTCTCAGTTATTAAAAAATAAATAATCGATGTTTTTTAAGACCCTTGATTAATTTAAAGGTTGGATGTAGAATAATCTACCTTTTCATTCGTTTTTTTTTTTTTTTTTTATCATTCCAAGACGGTCTTGTAAACACAAACAGAAAGTATAAACAATTTAACAGGTACAATAACACCAAAATCTGAATAGTGTAAATTGAGTAAATTTTTGTAGCTCACTGGCCAGCTTCAGATCGTTAGTCAACCTACATAGCCTTGCCAGCAGGTCCTAGTAGCTTTTCCTCTCCTAGTTGCAAGAACATAGACTCTCCCAAAAACATAAAATGTGCTTTGTGGACTCCTTTTCTTCCTGCGGTTTTTTCTGCCTACACTCCTATCCAATGCATGTGCCTTCTTACCCTCCAATAATTCCTTTCACTTCGTGCATGCCTCATGCATTGTTCCACCAGGTTTTGGATTCATTTTTGGATGTATCCTTTTTTTTATGGGAAGATGCTAGAGAATTCATAGTATCCTTTTTTGGCCATGTCCTCCATTTTCACATTGCCTCTGACTCAAATGCCCTGGTACCCATGCCTCAAATCATTGCTGTCACTGACTTCTATCAGGGCTTCCTTTTAACTCCATATGCTTTTTTTTAATCTTCCTTTTCATTCAGGAATATTTGTCATTACAAGTTTTTGGTAAAAATAAGAAGAAAAATTCAACCTAATTTTTCTGCTTTGGTTGTACACTATTGTTTTTTATTTTATGTTTGTTTGATTTTTAAGTTGAATTTTTCTTTTCTTGTGCTTTTTTGTTAGGTTTAAGTTGGGCATTATAACTTCTGTATTGTTCTTTTATTCTTTTTTCTGTGTTTAGTGGATATTTTGTACAATTTTTCCACTTTGGTTGTTCACTGTTTATTGTCTCTTTCTTATGTGTTTTATTTGATTTTTAATTTGAATTTTTCTTTTTTTGTGCTTTTTTATTAGGTTAAAATTGGGTTTGGCAACTTCGGTATTGTTGTCCTTTTTTTTTCTTTTGCCTGTTTAGTGTAGATATTTTGTCCAGTTTGTCCGCTTTGGTTGTTCACTCTGCTTATCTCTTTTTTATGTGTTTTGTTTGATTCTTAAGTTGAATTTTTCTTTTTTTGTGCTTTTTTATTAGGTTAAAATTTGGTTGTACAACTTTTTTATTGTTGTACGTTTTTTCTTTTACCTGTGTTTAGTGTATATATTTTTACACATTGAATTTTCCTTTTATTGTGCTTCTTCTGTCTCCCTTTGCATATATTATTGCTGCTAACCTATTTGAGGGTCAATGGGGTACTCAATATTCCACCTTAGACCTCACACATTATACATTCACGCTAATGAATACATTCACTCTCAACACACGCTAGCTACACAAAAATATATGTTTCCTCCAGTAAATCAAAACAGGGGACCCCAAATACTCACTGCCCTGCTCAAACACAATTGTTATATAGCATGGTACTCTTACACGCTCTCTATATAGAGCCAAAGAATTACACCCTTTAGTTAGGTGTGGCACAACTTTTCTCTGCACACCATACCATACAGGGGCTTTGGCTCAAAAGTGTCTATTTATCAACCTCGCATGGCCTATCCTTAATTCAAAAAGTTTTATTAAGGACTCCCACGCTTCCGTGAGTAGGAATCTCAGCCTGCAACAGCCTTCATACCAACAGAAATGTTGTTTCTTCTAGATAATCTCTGCACAGGGCTGTTTCTGATGTTCCTAGCCTTTATTATTCTAGTCCTTGATTTAGCAGGTCTGATGTTTCAGTCATGGTCCCACCATCCTCATAGAACTGTTTTTGACAGTTTGGAATGCTGAAAAAGGGTTCAAGGCTGATAGGTTTACTCAACTTACCTTGGCCGATTTACAAGCCTCTTCAGTGTCCTCTGGGTACCCAGACAAGGATAATTTCACAATTTTTCACTTTGAGTTTAATTGAAGCTTTCAGTACAACATACAACCTCGAGTCACGACAACATATCAATTTGTTGGTATATATGGTTAGTTTTCTTGTGTAAACTTACTACTTTTTACTTCATGTGCAGGACATAAAATGTATATTAGTTCAAATTTAATATTGATGATCATTGTGACAGTTTCTATGTTATGTATGTGTTGTACGAATACACCCACTTGTTTTTCAGAAATTACCTTTTTTTCACAATGTTAACTGTTAAAAAGAGTCAGCCTCTTTATGACCAAGACTAGAAATGTCAAGCTTAAGGCTATTAGATCCCGAAGCTACATTAAGCTGTATATATTCAGGGCTAGGCTTTTCCTCTTCCACAAGTACAAACCTCAGCCGGCATAACGCTTTCCGCTATTTCCTGGTAACCTCTGCATAGTTTTGTTTCTGGTGCTCCTACCCTGCAGCCCAACTATTATTGTAGTCTTAGGTTTAACACCATTCTAACACTGAACCGAGATTTGTTCTTAATCCACTGCCTCATAGATGTTTTTTTTTGGCAGTTCAGGGATGATAGGTGTCCTCAACTTACCTCAGCCAATTACCCACCTCTTCTTTGCCACTCTGCTCTGTGTATCCTGGTACTCAGACAAGGGTGCTTTATTACAAATTACTTTCACAAATTTATCACTTTGAGTGTAATTGAAGCTTTCAAGAAAATTATATATCGTATCCCACCAATATAACAAGTTGTTGTTTTACATACACCCTTGATATACACTGCTTGTTTTCTTGCATAAAATTACTACACACAGTTGCTTTACAGAAATTACCTCTATTTCAAATGATTACTGTTTAAATGAGGCAGCCTCTTTGAGACTATGCAAGAGCTTAGCGTAAGGCTTATCATACCCCGAAGATTCATTAAGCTGATATACTTCAGAACTGGGCTTTTCCTCTTCCATGAGTACAAACCTCAACCTGCATAATGCTTTCTGCTGTTTCTTGACAACCTTTGCATTGTTTTGTTTCTGATGCTCCTAGTCAGCAACCCAACTAATATTGCAGTCCTAGATTTAACACCACCTGAACACTGAACCGAGATTTCTTAATCCATTGCCTCATAGATCAAAGTTTTTGGCAGTTTAGGTGTCCTCAACTTTACCTGTCTTTTCCCTTAGTACCTAGACAAGGATTAATTTCACTATCTTTCAATCACTTTGCGTTTAATTGAAGCTGTACAACTATATGTCAAATATTTTATGTTTTATAACAGCCATACAGCAATGTACAATTTTAGTTCTAATTCAATATTGAGATGATCATTTTGACTTTTTCTATTTTGTGTTGTGCAAATACACTCACTTGTTTTACATAAATTACCTCTTTTTCAAATGTTAACTGTTAAAATGAGTCTGCAACTTTACAATCTTTGCTAGAGCTGTTACGCTTAAGGCTTATCATATCCCGAAGCTTCTTTAAGCTTACAAATCTCAGCCTGCATAATGCTTTGTGCTGTTTCTTTACCTCTTCATAGTTTAATATTTTTTAAAAGGATAGTTCCTACTCACAGTAAGTTGTTTTGCAACGATCCGGATCGTTGCAAAACAACTAACTGTGAGTAGGAACTATCCTTTTAAAAAGTATTGAACACCACACTCACTCCATCATTTATCATTTCTATCTTCATAGTTTTGTTTCTAGTGCACTCAGTCTGCAGCCCAACTATTATTCTAGTCCTACATTTAGCAGGTCTGCTGTTTCTGCAATGGTCCTGACACCGAACCGAGATTTGTTCTTAATCCATTGCCTCGTGTATGTTTTTGGCAGAGCAAGGCTGATAGGTGTCCTCAACGTACCTTGGCCAATATACCTGCATATTCGTTGTCCCTCTGCTCTGTGTACTGCAGTACCCAGACAAGTCACTATCTTTCACAAATTTATCACTTTTACTTTAACTGAAGCTTTCAAGGCAAATATCATATCAATTGAACATTAAAATTCCACTGACGTTTTGGTTTCTCTCAAGTTGTCATCATGAATATAGTAATGTTCTCTATTTTCTGCGTTAATTAATAACTGTACAAAGCGAATTTTCTAAGTAAAATGAGAAGCAATGGAAGAAATCCGTGTAAAAAGTTACCATTGTAGATGACATTGTCTGTTTTTTTATATATAGCCTATATTTGATTAGGTTTTGTCTCGAGTATAGAACCCGACCTGCTTGAATACAGTTTAATTAAAACTTACCTCAGCGAGACAAGGTTTATCACGAGATAAAAAAATGTATTTCGTTTTTCCTTAAAAATGTAATAATATTATAAAAACAGCTTTTTCCCATTCTTAAAGATCTTTTTTATTCAGGACGGGACACCTGGGCACGATGACCGTTGAAGTTGGCAAGGAGGTAAGGTAACCCTTCTCCAGAGTCAACTTGATATGGTTTTTTATGCTTGGAAATTTTAATCGTTTGGATTTCAACGAGCATTTGTTTTTAAATTATGCGTTTTTATTGTGTTTTTTCTGTGTATTTTGAGTAGTTTTTTAATGGTTTTGAAGGTATTTTGAGTTGTGTAGCAAGGGGGGTGAGTACGTCCGTGTAGTCGGGTCGGTCTTGGGTTTTTTTTTTGTTTTCGCACTCTTGAAATGAATGTCGGGACTCAGTTAAAAAGTGACTTTACCGTTAATTCGTGTGAAAGAGTTTAAAATAAGAAAAAGGGCCGTCGGAGTGGTCTGACCGCTGAAAAATTATCCCCATGTGATTTCCGCCATTAATTTAGTCCCTTTGTGCGCGAGGTAGGAGAGTCGTAGAACGTTAATGGCGCCTGTTCGTACAGTGTGGGATCTCGTGAATTTTGACTTGTCTTGAGGCGATTTTCGCTTTGGGAGCGGATGGGAGAGAAGAGG